ACAGGTACAAGCTTGGTATCGTTTGTGGTCACGCGTTCTGGATCGATTGGCAGAACGACATAGTTGAGTATAGAGCCCGGAGGAGAAGTCAGCTCCCTCTTCATTGCTTGAACTTGATTTTTGGAGAGACGAGTATGGACGGTGACAAATTCATTGGTGGGGGAGAGGCCGTCGACATTGATGGGAGCAGGGGTCGACCATACAGGTCTATAGGCAAAAGAAAGCCATATAAGACTAGTAATCATAGACAAATGCATTGTAATAGCAAACTTGACTCAAAATATGCGACTCTGGTTGCAGAGATATATATGAGTAAGTTTCAAGGAAAATGGTTACTTGAGTCGAATGGAGGTTCAACACAATAATTTTCTATAGGAATCTGCAGTACTTATATACATCGGCCTTCTCTGAATCTTTTCCCACGTAACAGAGAGAAGCCTACTTTGGAGTGACCTGCTTGTACAAGTGTACCTCATATCTCCGAGGCAAAAAAATCGATTCCGCAATTAATCAAACCCTAAAACACAGATAGGGATTTAATACAATAGTCTACTATTCTTTTAACCATAGGTCATTCAAACCCTATTAATTACCCGGTTAATTATTCACCTTGTACTTGACCACTCGTCATAATACTTGCCATTACCGTAATAAGCTTGCTTATGGCCTTATACAATTTTACCTGTACAATTGGCGTATTAGATTGGGGTCGGGAATTTAGAGAGAGTACACTGGACTAAGTTCCCGGGCAAATTCAATTACCTGTCCCTCAGAATATGTCGGATTAACGGATACTGCATATGCTAGGATTGAAGAGACTTAATGAGATGAATTGGAGAGTCCTTCCTTTCCGGATATCGTTGTTAAAGTGTTGTCAGATCTGTGGAGCTGTTCTTAGTGTGCCATGACGCTGGCATTCTGAGGTTACCCCGTTTAGCATTAAAAAGCAGAGAATGAATTCGATAGATAACTCCGTACATAACGGTGAAGTACCGCTTTTCACTTCGACACTTCCAACCAAATTCACACTGTAGGCCGCTGAGACATGATTAAGGTTTTGGTCTGAGATAGCCAAGCTGCACTAGCCACTAACCAGTGCATAAGGATTGCCCTAGAAATAGGATAGTCTCGCCAGTAGGATCCATATACAGCAAAACCCGAGACCGCCGATTGGGTTTGGTCGGCACGTGGGTTTCATCGAAGTCGAGATTACTAGCAAAGATCAAGGACTTGCGCTCCACTCAGGCGAGGAGAGTGTTGCATGCGCCGAGATTAAATCTTAGCAGTCAAGCCACGACCCCTGCATTAGCCTTAGTATAGTTCCCGAGGAAAGTCTACGAGTCTCCGAAAGGCTCAGTTTTTCTTGGATTTATGGCTCTGAATGATTCCTACACTACACAGGAAACCCGTTGCTTGAGACTAGGGTGGTGAAAATGGTGAATAACCAGGTATACATAATGCTTTAAATGTCTTGAAGAGAAAGATCAAGTCATAGTTTAGCTGCGGTACTGTTGCAGTATACTGATTACTGAATGCCAGATGCCTTTGTTCAACCTTCGCTCTGTTCATGTTTAGAACCTAGGTGTGATCAGCATGGTAACGGTAGAAGAAGGATAATTTTTGCAACCCCACTGTAAGTAAATTTGAGTTATTTATTGGACAGCCATAATCTGTACTCTGTGCTAAGTTAGATTTTATCTACATAGACTTACATAGTACTTGCCTTATATAGCTATATAAATAAAACTGTATTATAATAACATGGGTTCTAGAGAGCCTATAATAAGAACCCAGCCCAACCCAACCTAACCTATTTTTCAACCTAAAACCTAAATGGGTTCTCATTCTCAGAACCCAACCAGCCCATGGGTTGGGAATTCTAAACCCGGACCCGGCCCAAGGCGGGTTTGGGCCGGGTTGGGTTCGGGTTTCTGGGTTGGGTTTAACCGGTCTATAAGGGATTGGGATGGGATTCCTGTAGAATATATATTAGAATGGGCAGGGAAATCCCTTGGGAATCCCAAACCTTAAATTATAGGGTAAAAGTAGGCTAAAATAGGTAATATAGCCCTAAAAAAGCCTATTTTTGCCCTATAATTTAAGGTTTAGGGTAGCTTAGGATTCCCATGGGATTTCCTGTAAGGATCTACGTAACAGGGTAGATCACCCATTGACTAGGTAGGAATTGGTGACGATAATTGATAAGGGAGAATAGTAAAGAGCAGTAGATCATATGAGAACAAAACTAATCCTTGTCTTCTCAAATATCAGAGAAGGGGGATACTATTTATCTTCGCTGCCCATCCTAAATGCTTGCGGCGATGATTCGAAAACAGTTCAAGGTATGAAAACAGAAGGTTGAAAACAATTAAGGAGCAAGGGGTGGCGGCATAGCAGGGTGGCTGGGCTGTAGCCAATCCTTTACATTTCCCATCGGACCTATCCCATTTTAGGATTTTATATAGGATTTCCCTAGCCTATCTAAATAGGATGGGCTCCCAAATCCTATAGTATAAATGGGATGGGAAATCCCATATTAATTTTCTATATTATTAGGGAATCCTATTTATCTAAGGGATTAGGATGGGATTCCCACCACTAAGGATAAAAAAGGGAAGGGAACTAGCTATAGGACTCCCATAGGAATTCCTTTCCCTTCCCAACAGCCAGCCTAAACATCTTATAACTTTTAACATTTCAAAATAATGATAGAAAAGTGATTAAGTATAAAGCCCAAAGAATGAGCATTATAAATTTTTAATGCTGCCTTTAAAATATATAGGTTTTTACTCTACTTTGAATTATGCTTACTGAATATTAAAATGGGGCCTTAGGCCTTGGTAAACAGGAGGGGGGAAAGCAACTAAGACAACTAAACTCCTTTTACAGAGATAAATATCAGAGACAAATATCAGAGACAAATATCAGAGACAAATATCAGAGACAAATATCAGAGACAAATATCAGAGACAAATATCAGAGACAAATNTATCAGAGACAAATATCAGAGACAAATATCAGAGACAAATATCAGAGACAAATATCAGAGACAAATATCAGAGACAAATATCAGAGACAAATATCTGAGACAAATATCTGAGACAAATGTCTGAGATAAATATCAGTTGGTAAAAGGAATGCCCTCTTCCAACCGCTTCTCGCGGTTAATCTGCTCAATCTCCCTGGGTAGTAAATACGATCTGCGCCTGATATCTTCTTGCACCCAACTACCCACTGATACAGATAGTCCATCTGGTCCTTGAAGTTCTCCAAACTCAAAAATAAATCAGGCCTGATAGCCATTAGGAAGTGCCCAACATCCGCCAGCTTAGAAGGATCATATAGACCCATCACCTGCCCTGCAAACACCAACCCTAAAAGCACACCAGAAAACACATCCATTATAATTGATAGGGCAGACCCCTTCGGTCCACCCATCGGCAACATCACGCCCTCCAGCGCCTTGGCTGGAGAGAGACAAATATCTAAGACAAACGCCTGAGACAAATATCAGAGATAGAGTTGCATTTGGTGCAAGTTCGGGCGAGTTCAACCTTATTTGGCACTGAACCACTGCGGTTTCGGGTCCAAACTTTAGAAATCGGAACCAAATCGAACCCAATCTGGGTTGATTGCGGTTTCACCACAAAATCCCGCCGCTAGGCCCCTACTAACTAACCATGCTTAGATTCGGTTCGATTTCGGGCCGGATAAACCGCTGAATTTTAACTGTTTTGATGATCCCCCCTCTCTCTAAGGCCACCTCCAGGGCTCCTACCCTATAGGGCCTATCGAGCATGCTTATATAAAATATATGGTAAATTATCATTATACTAATCTAATTCTAAAATATCAATTCAATATCTATAGGGTTGAATGGGTGGTGATTAAACATTATTTCAAAGGTATAGTAGTTGGTCAGAGCTTAGTGCCCTTATACATTTCCGCACCACATTCATACAAAGCCATGACAGAGATGATTATTCCCTTATATCTCAGCAACCAGTATGTGTTTTGAATTGAAATTTATATAGTAGATAGCCTGAATTCAGGACTATCTAGTAATGCTAGAATATTAGTAAAAGCCTAGAAATCCCTCATTTCTAGGTAAACAGTGCAGGTTGGTTAAACCTAATAGTTAATCCTGCAAAAACCATAACCAACAGTTTTAACCGAACCCGCACCAGGTCTGGGGCAGAGAAACCAGACCTAAAGCAATTCCCTAGGCTTACCCCCAAGCCCAAATCACTAGAAATCCCTCATTTCTAGGTAAAACAGTGCGGGTTGGTTAAACCTAATGGTTAATCCTAAACCATAACCGACAGTTTTAACCGAACCCGCACCGGGGCTGGGGCAGAGAAACCGAACCCAAAGCGATTCCCTAGGCTTACCTCCGAACCCAAACCGCTGCGAGTTCGGTGAGGGTTGGATTAGATTTTTGCGGTTCGGTTATGCAACTCTAGCTGGGGGCACTGGAGGACCGCCAACTGGCCAACTATATTGGACAACAAGGCAAGGGCCTTGATAAAATGGAGGATTGACTGAAAAATCAAATTCAACCTCATTGTCTCCTTTCCTGGCCCAAAGTAGCAGTAAGCACCACACGCCGCGGGTACGTAGCCCTGAGTGGGGGGAGAAGTGTTTGTTCTGGAACCCATGTCTCAATATTGATTGCGACTAGGGCAGATCCAGATAAGGAGGCTAAGTCTAGTCTCTCCATTAGAATGGTCTATCCACCAGCTTCTATCTCCACGGAGGCGTTGTATAGACTCTAACACGCCCCCCTTAACTACCTAGAGGGGCCAAGATCCAACCTGAGATCTAACTCTTAAGTTCTTGTATGACGAGATCATGAGCCCCCTCTTCCATGGTATCTAGTTAACTGAATAGGGAAGACTTCATCACGGGCAATCTGCATGTTCATTCTCAGATGGCATGTGATCTCAATTCCTATTGCTGCGTGGGCATCTTATGGGGCCCAGAGGGCAGGCTGATGAATGTCACGACTCGAGATTCAACAGCTTCGAAAATTCCCCATTGGGATTATTGAGTAAATCACGAGGATGTCCCACCTCCACGATCTGACCACTGTTCAGAACAGCAACTTGATCGAAGTCGAGCAATGTGTGGATTCTATGCGCCACCATGATGATCGTGCAGCCACTGAACAACTCCCGTATGACATTCTGCACTTTGGCATCCGTTTCAGGGTCCAGGCTACATGGTCCCCTCGTCAGCTTTCAAGCAATGGATGGAATGAGAAATAGGGCGAAATAACTCGTGAACGCACCTGCTCGTTGGCTCATCCAAAATCAAGATTTTGCTCCTCTTCAGCAGAGCTCTGGCCAGACAGAAAAGCTGCTTTTGACCCTGGGATAGAATGCTTTCATCTAGTCTTGAATCCAGCACCTCTTCGTCGGGGCTACTGTGGCTTGCCGCAAGGACGTTCCAAACCCCCACGGACTGCAGGGCATCAACAATCTGCGTGTTCGAAACTTTGCCCAGTGGATCGGCATTTTCCCTGACGGTACCGGGGAAAATGAAAGGTTCTTGGCTGAGACAGCTAATACGTTGTCGGATTGATGATCGGGTCATCAAGGAGATATCTTGTCCGTCGATGAGAATTTGGCCGGATACAAGCTCGTTGAGACGGAGGAGGGATAGTGCCAATGTACTCTTGCCACTAATTCGATGTCAGGCCAGTGTTTCGTTCTGGGGAAAAAAATGGCTTCGACTGAGGACGATGGAAGTTGAGCTCACCTTCCGGTTCTGCCACACAGACCGAACTTCTGTCCGGCTGCAATTCGAAGGTTAATGCCGTTGAGTAAAGGCTTCCTCTCACTAATATCCCAAGCAATCCCTGCGTCTACAAATTCAAGCGCACCGCTCATGGGCCATTCAGAGAGGCAATCATTAGTCAGAATGGCCACGTTACTCTCTTCAAGAGGAGTTTTCTCGGCAAAGTCTTTGATGCGTGAAATGGCCCCCAGTGATGTTTCAAACAACGTCCAGTTTGAAATAAGCTCTGATAGAATGAGTCCCAGATCCATCATCATCACAAGGGCAATTCCCAGAAGACCTGGGTCCAGACGTGAGCGAAGAGCGACAGACGCTCCGACAAGAAGGACTGCTATGCTGGCCACAATCAGATTGAGCACGAGACTAAGCCAGCGCTGGATACACAGGAGAAGGTAGTAGGGTTTTTGGGCGGTGTCTAGCAAAGAAAGCATTCGGTTTGTCGTAGCATGAGTCCAGGCAAAGGCGCGAATAGTGGTGACTCCTGCCAGTGACTCGATAAAATGGGTGTAAAGAGGGCTCTTAAGCTCAATTCTGTAGATGGTCTGCATTAGTTTTATGAATCGAAGAATCAAACATATTCAAGCCGCTTAACGTAAGGAAAGCGTATAAGAGCAACCTACTCTAGCAGCCGCAGCTGACGGGACGTCTTAAGATAAAACCTCTGGATCAGATACAAAATTCCAAAGAGAAGAGGCAAAGCCGCAGCCAAATAGGGTAATGAGGCTATGGCAGTGGCGCCTTGGGCAATAGCTCCGAAAAACTCTAGAGGCCAATGAAGTTAGATTATTGTCCAGTTTGTCTTCCATGTCTCATTGTTGCGCTTACGGAACCCAGTAGATATGAAACCTCGAGGCAGGATCATGTCAACTAGCCTCATGTCCTGACTGAAACGGGTCACTAGAACTCCAGTCTCGAGGTTTGACAAAAAGGACAAGGGGGCACTAAAGTTATTAGCCAATCATCGCAGCATGCATTTAGAAATACTCACCCCATGCAAGTGCGTAGCACGGTTGTGTGAAGGTTCCTGGAGGCAAATGGGACAATAATGACCCATGTCCAGCTATTACCAGGTTAGAGAGGTCATCAAAGACACGGACTGATTGAAGAGAGATATTGAACACACAATACGGCAAGTACAAGCGCAAGGGCTTGGACTACAGAGAATGCTCCATACAGTCCAAGCCAGTAGCCTAGGCGCGAAGTACGGTCACTGCTGGAGGACCAAAGGCTGACCCATACATCTTGGAAAGAGTGAGTCTCATGCCGTCATGATCAATAACGTCGAGTTGGGGACCTCATCATAACTTACAGCGGAATCCGCTCATACCGGCTTCTGTAATGAGGAAGAGAAGCAACGCAGCAATTCGTGACCAACCCAGCGCAGAAAAATAATACTTGTATACGGCCAGCTCAGTTGTCTGTCGACTGCCATCTTGGGAAGAACAAGCATTAGAATTATCTGAGGTGGGAGTCGGAGGCAGATCTGTTGGCTTGTCGCCTTCTTCCGGCTCATATGCCTGTGTGGGTTGAGCATCATTCACATGAATGAAGCCATCAATGTCGTCTCGAATTTGGGCATAGCTGCCTTGTTTGGTCACCTGTCCATTTTCCCCGAGAACCATGATCAAGTCAGCCTGGGGTAAACAATAGGCTGCAATACGGTTAGCAAGTCAGTAGTCTGCGAGTGAGATACACATACTGCTGTGGGTAGCCAAGAATACAGTACTCCGCAACTGACGCAGGAGCCCAGCCGAGCCAAAAACGTTGTTAAATACAGTTCGGGCTGTGGAATTGTCCAAGCCACTTAGAACGTCGTCAAAGCAAGCAATACGTCTGCGAGCATAGACCGCTCGTGCGATAGCCTATACACGCCAGGGTTTACTTTAGAGTCCCAATCTTCTAATAGACAAGGCTGATCACTCACGATTCTTTGTCTCTGACCTCCACTCAGCTTAGAGCCTTTACTGCCGACGAGTGTCTCGTCGCCTGCTGGCATCTTCTTAAGATCCAAATCCAGTGCACATGCGCTTAGAACAGTGCGATACCAGTCAGGATCAAAAGTAGGCGATGAATCTTGACCAACTATATTACTCCGTATTGAAGAATTGGATAGCCATGGTGTCTCTTCACAGAAGGCCAAGTCTGGGTACCTCACGAAGAGCTCCCCTTCCAACAAGGGCGTCTCACCTGCGAGACCCTTAAGGAAGGTAGACTTACCGCAGCCGACTGGACCGACAAGGATGACAAGATTACCAGAAGGGGCATCCTTCAGTGTAAGTGTGATACCATTTGTCTCTGGTACAGAGGGAGATTTCCAGCCAAATCTGACATTTTGTAGAGATAAGACCACATCTTTCTCCCTGTGTGGATGCTGTAAGAGCGGGGGCAGTTCAATACCAGAGATGTTGCTGAATGATATGGATTGAGTCGACAAGGACTCAGGAAGCTGTCTCTTCTCTGAGTAAATTATAGACTTATTAGCTCACTTTGAGAAACTAAGAGTCTGGTTCAGGATCCGGAAAAACCGGAGCACAGTCACCATGTTATGGCCGGGGAGTGGAGCTCTCACCAAAGCGATTCTGGTTCTTAAGAAAGTCCTGGATTCTTTGCAGGCAACCTATTGAAGCAAATGTGTCTGGAATCGCCAACAAGAGGTAGCTCAGTGGTGTGATCATCAAGCTAATAAGCGACAACGAGGTAATGGCTTGGTTGACGGCAAGGCCCCCAGAGTCCTGCAGCAATGCTACTATCGCATAGGCAGCCAGTGTCGCAAGCTGACCGATGATTATAGGGGAGTTTACTGGAATCAAGTGTCAGTACGATCATGGGCTATTCATAGCAACGACAGTTGACTCGGGACAGGGACGAGTGTAAGCACGCACTCATGCAGACACGAATTGACTGGATCCGGCGGTACTTCTTGGAGACTTCAAGCTCCTCCACGCGCAATGCTTCGATCTTGGAACCCATTATCTCGGCTAAGCCGAGAAACTTGACGTTGCGAATGGAACCCAGGATGGAAGTTGTGAAGTTGATCCGCTTCTCGGTGGCCCGAAGCCATTCTTTTTGCCGAGTGGAAACTGCATTGCCCATAGCGAAGGACGAAGCCGTGAATACTGATTTGAACTTGTCAGATGAAGAAAAAGACGGGGTGTTGGTTGGGGAATGGACAGAACTCACCTATCACTACCAAAATTGGAGCGATGCAGACCGCACCGACCTGGGTTTCTAGCAACCATGTAGCCAGTGCTAACTGAAGGATATTTGCCCAAGTTTCACAGACGACCGAATAAAAATACTCGGCCAGCATCTCTATGTCAGAGCCCATAAGCGACATGGCACTGGATTCGTCTGTGCTCCCCAGTGGTAGATCCATCATATGCCGGAAGACGAGACTCATCAGACCGCCTCGGATCATTGTCACAGCTCGATATCCCAGGTGCTCATAGGAGGCTCTAGAAATCTGCAAAGGGATGTCAGTGTTACTTCCAGCAGTGCGACGAGATGGCAACTAGCTTACAGCAATCCCGGTAAAGACAATTGCAGTGGCCCCAATTAAGCCATAGCCAATGTTTAGTGAGGAAGGCTCAAGGCCATGTAATACGCTGACCACTTTCCCAATGAGAAATGGCTGCGCAATACTGAATCCCACAACACAAAGCCGCGGGAAGGCGATCGCCGCCATTTCCCAGCGCAGACACTTGATCACGGCCCAAAGTAACGCATTTTGTCCAGTCTGATCGCAGTGGGACCATGTATTTGCGAATCGGACAGACAACTCCAAAGACGAAAGCTTCTCATGAACGGCGGGGAGGTCATCCCCGGCCAGTGAGGCGGAGTGCCCTCTCCACAGCAGCCCATTCAGCCAGGTAAATAAGCCTCGGGTGAAAGGCCCGCTCACACTTTCAGTGGAGTAAAATTTCTCGGCTGATAGAAGCCATTTCTGTTTTTCAACACTGGCTAGCACCAAAAGAACTAGCTTGACGGCCAAAGATGTAGAAAGAAAGGCGGAGTAGACCTGATTCTCCGGTAGCAGCCAGGCGGTGCGCACACGCACAAGATCAAGGAGCAGCGCGACCAACAGATACACAGAGACGAGAAAAGATGGCCGAATTGAGCGGACATGCTCTAGGTCAAGAAGTAGTATAACGCCTAGTGCCGCTAATAGGTCGAGAACAGCACTTGCAAGAAGTGCGCGCCCTCCAACGGGGTGCTGTGTCGCAACAAGCACAAGTAATGCAACCTGAATAGCTGCAAAAGTCACAGAGACACTCTATTGCAAGGTAAGCTTACGAGGCTCGGTCTGTCCATATCGAAACCTCCCTTAGGCAGTAGGAAGGTAGGAGGTAGGAGGCGGGATTACTCACCAGTGTGACCACTCGAAGTGTGGGAGAGAGCACCTTCCGTGACTGTCTAAACAATTGAAGCATCCGAAAAGATGCCAGAAGGAGGAAGCAAGCGGCTGGAACAATGCTCAGGATATCTGACTCAAAAAATACAGTGAAGTCGAATCCCCCACGACAGGCCGCTGTAGCGACGATAGGCCCAAACTGGCCATCGTCGCATGCGTCCATGGCCCAGGTCAATACCATGGCGGGACCAGCGCAAGGCCAGGAAAGCGAAGAATAGAATGTTGAAATGGGAGGGCCGATGAGATTCCGGTGAGAATTAGCAAGGGAGAGGCTCTCATCTACGAAGGCTGCATAACGCGTCTTCGAAAATGCTCAGCTGCTGGTCAATCACCCTTTGCACAAGCATCTGCACCTTTTGTTATCGCCATACGAACTGCTCGCAGTATTTCTCTCAGGAAGATTATGAGAGTTGAATGCTACCTAGGATTTGGACATGAATTTGTTGCTACTTATCGTTGCCAACGGCCTAGCGCTCATGCGAAATGACCCCTCAAGCACCAAAGGCCTCTACCAACGTACTTTGGCAGCGTTACATCGAATCCCCGCACGTACAAACCCCTGTATATGGGCTCGACTTGAACTTAATAAAATTATACGCCAAGCCTAACCTTATATGGCATGTGTAATATCAAATTTTGATTATTCCGACTTTTCGTAACCTAGTCACTGTCCCCACCCTCTTCCAGGGGAGCAGTCCGAACAAGCAATAGGCCTATTAACCACAAGACGAAGAACCCTGCCAGACCAAAATAGGGCAACCCAAGTGACATACCCCCGAGCCTCATGCCGGTCTCAAACAACCAGGCAAGGGCAGGCCCGGCGAATAGCGTCACGACGCGGCTTTCTGCTGTCCACCAAGTAGTGGAGAGGCCTCTTCAAGCATTGTAACCAGTCGATTGTGGGATACCGCTGTGTGCGAGAAGACAATGTTGGCGAGGCAGGCGACCTGGGAGCGCAACCGTACTCGTTCACAATCACACCTGTCAAGTTGGGCGCTAGACCACTACTGGAACATTAAAATTGTGATTCCTGATTGGAAGTTTTACCCCTGCTGATCTCTGTCTCCATTTCTTTTTGAAAGCCTTTTATATTTACACAGAACGGAGTGGAATAGTCAAAGAAGACCACTGGGTGTTGGTGGGGAATTACCCCTACCGCAGACTGAATATTACTTGCTACTACTACACTACTAGAACAGCTACACGCACGACCTTACTAGATGACATGCCTGATTCCCAGGTTGCGTTAGAATCTTTACAATTATTTCTGGAAGATAGTAGATGCCTGTATTTAATCCATCTATACCTTATTCTTTCTGAGATAGACATGACTGAAGATATAGCTCATGAAAGGTGAGTGGTCTTGGGGCTTTCAGTCAGTTGATGAAGCGGGAGAGAACTAGCCAGTCATATTATATGTTTGGAGAAAATGAGCAATGCCACTATCTCTACTTACTCTGGACATGGTCTGAAACAGCTGGAGGCATTTCTTCGTGCTCCTCTACGCCAATTTTCTTCCAAGAGAAGCCAAAGCTCAGCAAGGCAGCCACAGCAGCAGTGGCTGTAGGGAGAAACTATGGCAGTAGGTCAGTCAGCTTTGAATACTTCAGACTGAGGTAACCTAGAAAGAATAGCACTCACAAAGACCTTGACCAATGCTTCATTATACGCGAAACGAACTCCGGGCAGCTGGCCAACAGGTAAAACATCGGCATATCCTGTAGCGCCAGCATCCAGGATGATTGCTGGATCAACATTGGGCGCATACTTTTCCAGAGCTGGCGTCAAGCGATTCTGGAAGATAGCCTGCGCCACAGAGATGGCAACGGACCCAGTCAGATATTGACACAGAGCAATAGCAGAACTGGCAATAGCAATGGAGTCGCGGTTTAGATATTCTTGGCTTGCAACGATGGGCTAGAGGATGCTGTCAGGCCTTGCATTATGTTAGGTTTCATCCGGGCACCAACTACTAACCATGTTCAACGCTGCACCCCGTCCGAACCCCGCGATGATCTGATAACCGATCCACTTTCCCTTGCTCGTATCTGCTGTAAATGTGGTAATGAGTCCGGTTCCGACTGCAGTCATCGCACTACCGATGATTGCCCAAGGGGGAACGTAATGGAGCTTGCGAACTGCAGAAACAAGTTAGCATTTGAAATCCGTGTTTCAAAGAGAGATTGGATTCGCTTACCGAGTGCGCCCGACGTTATTGAACCTAGGATCTGACTTACCATTGTCGGGAGCATCATGAGGCCACTATCGGTCGGCGAGGCTCCCTTGACAGCCTGAAACCACAAAGGTAGGTAGTAGCCCACCATGATAGTGGCACCACCTTGCAGACCGGAGATCCAGCAGCCAAAGAAAAGATTTCGCTCTCGAAGAATATGAGGTGGAATTAAGGCTTCATCACCCTGATGGATAGCCCATGTGACGAAGAGTGCAAGTCACCACTTCCACAGAGAAGACCAATCACTTTTGCCGAGCTCCAGGGGTAGGTTGCTCCACCCCAATTGATGGCAGTCAGAAACATGGTACAGGCACTGGCGAAGAGAGCAAAGCCCAAGAGATCGAGCCTGGGAAGTTTGACGAGAACAGAGCTCATTGGTGGCTTGATCGTTTGCTCGGGGACGCGGAGAATCAGCATAATGAGCATGGTGACGCCTCCAAATGGGAGAAAAACCCAAAAGCCTAGGCATTGGCACTCGCTGGTTAGTCTTTCATAACGCACGCGCAATACGACAGACCTTGAATGAATCCAAAATATGTAAATCCGAGAAGCAAGGCAAAGAAAAACTCACACCAACGCCAGCTGACATGCTCAGTAAAGGCACCCCCAATCAGTGGGCCGACAATACCCCCTATTGCGATCATAGAGATTCCACAAGCTGTTACAAGAGGTCGAATCTTGGGAGGGGAGCACGCTGTCAGAATAACGACTGCTCCATTGAAAAGGCCTGAAGCTCCCAACCCTGCAACAGTCCGGCCAGCGATCACCATGTTGCTTGACGTTGAGAGCGCACAAATGAGATTTCCGAGCTCAAAGATGGCCATAAAACCGACATACAAGTACTTTTGAAGGAGACGAGTTAGTTGTGGTATCTGTGCTCAGATAGAGCGTAACTGAGGGAACATACTTTCAATGGGAATAAAGTATACAGCTTGCCTGCAAGCGGTTGCGTTGCACATCTGACCAGTCAGTGTCAGAACACAAAATAGATGTGAACACAGAACTTTGGAGGGGCATCTTACAGAGCCAGAAGGAAGGCTGAACCATACCAGTTCACATCCTTAAAACTGTCAAAGTAGTTCGAGATTGTGGGAACGGCCTAGGGTTATTGCATCTGCGTTTAGTAACCCTGCCACAGCAAAGACACTACGAACGCAGCTGGTTCTATGGGAACTCACTGTTGCGACCACATTGATATCCAGGCCCAGGAGAAGCATTCCAACAATTAGAGCTGTGATGAGATTATACAAAGGAACCCCTCTGAGATAGGGATATCGAGAACCCGATTCACGAGGACCACTGACCAATGTTAGTCGACTAAATGCACGGCTTTGAGCGTCAGGCACCATCTCCGTGTCCAGTGGGCGTCCAGCTTCAGCGGCACTTTCGAGCGTACTGACTGACATGACTGACTTAAATGTGTACCGTTGTCTAATCAAGGAAGACTTGCGAGAGGCACGCAAAAGTATTGAGGGCCTTGGGAAGAAATGAAGAGATTGGGTGACGTGAGGCCGCGTGGGAAAGGGGGAGGTTCCAAGGACGTTTTTATAACAGGACAGGCATGCAGCATAATCAGAATATTAATATCACCACAGCCGATAACTCATTATCCCCAAAGCGATCATTGAGAGTGTCACAGATCCCACCATTTCCCTGGTTGTGTTCAATTAGCCAATCAGAGAACAGATTCCGCACAGTGACCATTCGCAGGAGCATTCGAGGTCAGTGAACTGCCCACGTTCGTTGAAGCTGGAGATTCTACGTGTAAATCAGCTATTGTGCCCATTCTGAAAACCCCCAGGCCAGTGGGATTCATGTTTACGTTCGCATAGAGGATGTTCCCCGATCAGGCTAAGCACCGCATAAATCCAATTTGGACACTCATTCGTTTGCGCTATGCATACTTTGGTGCATATCTTAGTGCCTAGTTTAGCGCGTAACTCAATTAGTTAAGTTCAACTCGGAGTACCCCCCAGCGAACGGCTTGCACCTCAACGTGGCGCTGCGGTCAAGGTATCTCGAGAAGCAAATTGAAGTTGGTAGCTGCAAACTATTTTAAAACCAAGAGTGTGGCGTTACGAAATCAGAATACAGGGTATTGCTAAAAAAAAGAAAGAAGCTTTTTCGAGTGCTCAAGTAACTAGACAATGATGATTCCATGAGAGACTTGAAGTTGTCACGAACGACATAGGTTCTCTGAGGCCCACCTAAAGATAACAAAGCAAGGACATGTTCGAGCGTTTACTCTTTCTAATCAATTTGTGAGTGAGATGGGAAGATACGTATAATGGAAAAGAAGTATTAACTCTCTCCATTTGAGGAGGCTGACTGGGCTAAGATGGACAGGCATCCAACTTCAGTTGCTCTCTCGCTCTAAGTCCTCCGCATTGATAGCAGAAAGCTATAAATAGGATGCCTCATGCTTCTCGCACAGGTTATTTTGGAAGTTAGACATATCGGATGGCTGAGCAAAAGTGTAAAATTCATTCTGACCTCAGCGGATACTAAACAGGCTACTTGAATCAGAAGCAGGCAGCAGATAGACATAGAATTCCTCCGTGTAAACTGTCAGCTCATAATCGAGCAATGAATCGATGAAGGTCCTCATGCAGCCAGAGCTGCAAGGCTCCAATTACATGGAAGCTGTACCGGCTACTCCACCCAAAGCAGTCTCCCTCTCATCCAGGTTTGCGAACTGAAGGCTCAACTTCCAGAGTAGTTCCTGACATTCCTCGTCCTTTGATAGGGCAGCAGACTCAGCAAGCTCACTGCCATTTAAGTAGACATCTTTGGGATAGAGACCTAGCTGTGGATCTTCTAGGCATAGTGCTGCCCTCACAATATCACCCGCAGATTTCTCTACGGTGCGAAGCCTTCCATTAGGCCACAGATTGACCGCAAGTCTCGTATATATCCGGACAGGGGGAACTAATACATATCTCTGAAATGCGGAAAACTTGTGGTTTAGGTTGTCATGGATCATTCCGCCAGGGTCAACGCCGAGAACGCAGATTTTCTCTAGGCCAGGTGTCTTATCTAGGCGCTTTTGCAAGGCGTGCCTAAAAATTGTGAGTGTAAGTAAAACATAGGCATTCCTTTTTCTTTTTTTACTTTTCCTGGTTGGAAAAAAAGTATACTTACATAAACGTAACCTGGCATAGCTTCGAAGCACCATATCGTCTCATTGCGTCATCTGCCTGCTCTCCCGGACTGAGTTGTTCTTTCGGACGCGCCAGTTGCACTGGATCCCACTGCAGCTTTTCAGGCTTATGCCTTTGGTTAACAGGTAGTGCCGGGTCATGCGTCCAGCTCGACACGTAAACAATGCGTCCGTGCTCTTTATCTAGACTTCCCAGCAACAATAATGTAAGGAGAAAATTTGCAAGGTAATTCACGGCGAAATTTATCTCAAAGCCCTCCTTGTCGCCATCGTTGTTGGTAAATTTGAGGCCGCCTTTCTCATAAAAGACTGCCGCATTGAGAATTAGCGCTCTGATAGGCGGGAGCGTGCCAGACCTGACTTTTGCATTCAGGTCACTGGCAAATGCTCGGATAGACTGAAGGCTGGAGAGATCAAGTTCAGGAGTTTTGATCTCCTTGGCGTTTGCGCCGTCTAGTTGATGTAGCTTCTTCGCGCGAGGGGTGTTTTTGTTACGGACAGTGAACAGGCAGTGATATGATCCAGGGTCTTGCACAACTCTTTCCGCGATCGCTTGACCAAGGCCGCCAGCAGCGCCCGTCACAATGACTGTACCAGGCATTGCTCTCCTGTTGGGAACATGAACGGATGGATTGAAAACTGACACATGCAAAGCAAAAGTGAGATGGAATAGGATTGTCTTATATCCCGACAAGCAAACAACCAAAATCAAACTGTGTTCTAATTAGTAGGAGTCCTGTGCACCGACAGTCTCAACACGCCGTTTCCGAGGAACTCGGGCTCTCGACATTCCGAATTATATTGCGGGGGTTGCTGTGGCTAAAACCGGATTTCTGGGATTCCGAGAGCCGGTTGGTATTGGACTGTGATCTGGAGTCCTGGGCTTTTGGAATAGAATCATGAAGTTAGGGTTTATGGTTAAGGACATAATCTATTCTAAATTCGATAGCCAAAGAATTAAAGGTAGGAACTACTTTACCATAGCCGATAGGTATGGTCAGTAGGCACTTAGTGAGTGATTACTATTGGAGGCACGAGAATGGGCCCCCACCTAACACGGATACGTGGCCAATAATCATAAGTGCCAAGCAACACTTGGTCCATATCTGCAGAGCGGCATAGAATCTTGATCATGTATCTAGTACTACATGTACAGCTTGGGTTGACTATTTGACACCCAAGTAAACTTTTATATGTTCAGGTGTTATTTTATCACTACAAGTATATATTCATTGTCCTTTTTTTATAGAGATGTATCTATAAGGTATAGTTCGAGAAATCTGACAAATGTTACTGGTTGGTGGTTTATTGAAGAGCGGAAATATGGGGCAGAATGCCTTCGAATGCCTTTCAAAGCTCTTCCGTATCAGCGTTCCGCCACTCTTCTCACCCGGAGAAGCTGACTGACCGAGCAGTAGTTGTGTCTGTTGTCCGTTGCTCACGTACCCAAGACGGTACACGGTTAAGTGACTGGATGTACTACTCCACGCTTCTATAATATACGCCCCAGTGCCTTGCTATGCCGCCTCGCCGAAGTCACACTAAATCCCGCCGAGGCTGTTTCCAGTGCAAACGAAGACATATTAAGGTCAGGACACCAAATCAGCTTCGGTCCCCACCCCGTCGTGCTCCGTTTACTTTGTCCTTCCTTTTATCTAGTAATAAAAGGAATGTTTTTCTTTTGTATTGCAGTGTTCATGGGTTCTCTGCAACGAGCTCGACCTTCCCTGTATACTTCCTCATACTAATGCTTGATCCTCAAATGATCTATCTAATGCGCAGTACAGTGCGACGAAAAGCACCCAGCGTGTGGCCCATGCCGGGACCGAAAACTTGGATGTACATATCCAGTTGTCCCCATCCGCCGGCAGGGGCAAACTAGCTCAGAAGACAACGTAGACACTGGATCTCAGAAACTGCCACTGGCTACAAGGATGCTGGAAATGCAATTGCACCACCATTTTCTTACCAAAACATGCTTCACATTAGTGAATGGTGATCAAGATCCCGATCACTGGCAGAGCACGATCGGCCGTATGGTCGTTTCCCAGCAGTATTTACTAGATAGCATGCTAGGTTTGTCTGCGCTGCATCTGGCATTTCTGGAAGCTGTCGACCGCCAGTCGTGGCTCCAAATCGCACTCAAGTACCAAAACCAAGCCTTTAAAAGGTTTAGCAAGGAGTTGGCAGATATTACCCTCTCTAACTGCGAACCGGCCTTTGTCTGCTCTGTTATGATCATGATTTTTGCCTCGGCCTATCCAGAGGTAGCACAGGACGATCAACCGGTCGACCCTCTTGCTGAAGTGATGGAGATCCGCAGGCTGAGTACTGGCTGCGCATTTCTCTTCACTCAATTGAGTCGTAAGGGAAATGGTCTGGAGCTCAAGGACTGGTTACGATGTAATAGCAAGAAACAAAATGGACAAGGTCTATTTGTTTCTACAGAGTAAGTTCAGAATGTCTGCGTTGTGATATATTCGTATCCAGTATAACAAAGCCGCCAGGTATCTAAACCCGGAACTTAATACTCTACACCAGTATGGGAATAAAAATCTTTTTTGGTTACTTTGGTCGGAAGAGACTAACAATCTCCAGCTCTATCATGGATTCACTACGTCATCTACGCAAGGTGATTGATGCTCCAGTTCGATGCGTACACCGGGATATCTACAGAGACACCTATCAACTGCTTCATGAGGCACTCGAGCCATGGCCGCATGGAAGCCCCAGGGGCGGTATCATCTCCTGGCCAGTACACATCAGCAATTCATTTATCAGTTTGCTGCAGAATGGTGACTGGACGGCGCGTGTCTTATTTCTGCACTATGGACTTGGGATGCATCTCGTTTCAGCGAACTGGTTCGCCAAAACTACCGGACGACGCATAGTGTCAGGAATCATATCCTCTCTCAAGGACGAAGAAATACCATCAGAGTGGACGGACACAATTGCATGGGCGAAGCGGGCTGTAGAGATCATGGAATGACTTTTACAAGTACTTACGTAGAATCGAAACTGTGCATATCTAGCAAGCAGAATGACACCATTGCAGGCTACGAGTCAGTGATCGATCATCCAGCGTCAACATTGTCGACAGTACAACAATATGGAAGAATATGTTATCGTACTGTGATAGGCAATGATCCCCTTCTCGAGATTTCCAAACGCTTAGGTAGGGTAACAAGTCCGGTTCGTATTTCGGGTCCAATTAGATCGCTTATCCAGCTTCTGGGGTTTCTCCCCATAGCCACTGTTGTGCTTGTTCCAGCATTAGTATCTGTAACATTCTTACTTGGATTCCAGGTACAATATCGTACTTGAGAGACCTTTGTCGTCCTATTACTCCGGATTGAAAAGAGCGCTGGGGCCCAGCTGCGTCGTCAGGACCATGCCTGCCACCGGGTCGCTGACGGCTAGGCGGCCCGCTGCGAGGGTGTCGGCGCCCAGGGCGATGACCGTGCCCGCGGAGTCGTAGCCGAGGATGGCGCCGGCCGCTGGGCTGTAGTCTAGCATCTTTGCGTCGGCTGGGTTGATGACGACTGCGACGGTCTTCACGATGACTGTGTCGGGGGCTAGTGGGGGATGGATTTGTCATGCTGAATCGCGAGCTTTCCTGGTCCCTGATCCACGACGGCTGTTTGCCGCTGTGTTGGACAGATTGATAGCATTGCGGGTGGAATGTAGCAGAGAGCAGAAAGCGAGGCTCTATATTAATTTTGACTCGCATTTGCTCTTCTCAAATGACTTTCAGCAGACATGACTGTCGCAAGTTGCCAGTTGCTAGTTGCCGGTGTTGTATGGCAACATTACGTGATGGTTGGTACGAACACATTCGAATATATAATGACGTGAGATGAACTCGAAGTCACCGAATCAGCACCGAATTCGATAACCCTATGATGAAGCCGATGAATGTCGCCGAATGCTAATTGTGTATGCATCTACAGAGTTCCTCAGAGCCTGGTGTATGTTGATCCAGGAGCTAGAGCTGCTGTTCACTGGAGAATTCATGGGTCATCTCGACCGGGGACGTTGGCCGCTCGCATATAACCACCAGAGACACCTGGTGATTTCATGAAATGAATCCCTTCTGCTGAAGTGAACAAAAGAATCCGGTTAGATACTTGATATCAGTCACTGCGCTTCAATCAGGAAGGCTGCCGTTCCTAGCATCAGAAGCAGCTTGCGGGGTTTCAGCCGTTCAAATATACTCTTCAGCTCTCAAAAAGGACGCTTATTCAGCTGGCAGCTTCACTGGGTTACACCCTAGGCTCTGATTGAATGAAGGGAATACCCCTTAATTAGTACTATGTATTTAGTTCCGTTATTAAGATTAATTATAGTCAGTAATAAAAGATTTATACATAAGAGTATATGGAGGGGGATTATCCATAGGAATCACCCTTAAACACTGGTTGCTGGGCTTGATATATGATAGAAAGAAAATAGTAAGATATAGATCATGAATGAAATAATATAGAAGGAAAGAAAGATAACAGGTGAACGAAAAATTGTATTGATAATACTAGCTTGAGTATAGCTGAGCAGAGAAGAAGCCCTGTTTCCCACACCCTTTCATCATACGCACTGATTGTGCAACAGACTATATATATATGTAGAGTCCAAAAGTCCAATTCTTGCTAATGCACTACTATACGTGAGCGTCAATGCCAGGATTAATCACCGTCTGCCACGAGTCAGCTCTCACCATGTGACATGCGGTACCTATGACGTAGAGAGCTAGTACAGAGTACTAAACACAACACATCCACCAAGTCGCGACATCGCTCCAAACACTATCAATATTGACTATTATACCAGCAACATGGAAAGCAGCGGCCTGCGCGGTCTTACCCGACGAGCCCTGCCCGAAAGCCTAAAATCCCACGCTCAGACGGCACACGATGCAATCTCAAGCATGATGGGGATCCGCCAGACTTTGCTCTCGGCGGTCCTCTTCGACGTACCCCCTGTCTGCTCGCCATTGGTGAGCGACCTGGTTGCAGATTACTACACGGTAGCATACCTTACCCTCCTTTGTTGTCGAGCGGGGCATCTGACAGGGTTACCAGGCGACTGGCTTACCCGAGCGTCCTCATCGAGATGCATATATCATCGTTTTGCTTCCCGGAGAGTCGACGATTGGGAAACAGCATGATCTATTACTGCTTCCTCTATCGCGGGCTGGGCATCCGATAGTCAGCGTAGTGGATGTTGAGGGGAAGGTCTTGGAGATGGACTGGGAGGCCCAGGATTACTTCCGAATAAATGAAATGTGTAAATTCCGCGTCTCGGAACATGGGAGGGTCAGTGCCCTGTGTGTGGTGTTTCCTCGGGCCTAGGTAGTCTATGAGGTGTATTTGATTAGGAGCGTCGTGACAATGTGCTGATAACGGCGATGTACTTGATAAAAATTGGCCATTCCGCGATTCGGGTCAGAGATTTATGCGCAAAGCGGGAGGTAGGTAGGTACTCCTGATGCAAGAGATGGCGCTATGGAACTGTCTTCCTCTCTTTTGGTAGCCTCTGCCTCTGCTGCAGTAGTCGGGTCTCGATTTCATCGAGGAGTGACCACTTTGCTGTCCGCAAAGTAGAAGAATGCATAATGGGATACTCTTCATATGGTAATTGCGCGCTGGCCTGATGAAGAAAACCAAGGATGGCGATAGCTGTCTACGACGTCCTGGGAGGTGCATTGACACCATAGTTCGGTGCTCCAATCGATGAAAGGACTATTGATAGTTGTCCAGTACTCATCAGTCTTGGTTTAGACATATTAACATTGAGTATTATGCCTTGTCATTTAGGCTATGGAAGTGTGGAGAAATGATCGTCTATCTACAAATTAGCAAAGGCTATGTTAAACAAAAACAAGTCTATTGCAATGGGACGTTAGAATTTAATATTTAATATGAAAAGGGCGCGAGGAAAAGCTAAATAGTACGCCGAGCTTTTGGTAATATGTTGTGTCATGCAAGGAGTCCTGGTCTTTGTGCGCCAACGTGTCCAAGTTCAAACAATGGAGAAAAACAAAGGCAACCAAAGACAATCAGGCAAGTGGACATGTAGTTAAGTCCAAACGGCACGTCTATTGGTATTGTGCAGGCAAGTCCTATTGAAAGTGGACGCAGGCTAAGAAGACTATATTCAGCCACTCAATAGTCGATGCACCAGACCAGACAAAACAGACAAAACAGGAAAGGGGAATCAATCAAACATTACACAACGTCAAGTACGCCGCTATATACAGCAACCGAGATAGGCATATGCACAAATGTCTCGGCGCCAATGCCGAGTCGAACGATGAGTTAATAACAGACAAGATTCTAGATCCTGTTCCTCGGCTTTGTACACCGCAAGGCCTGTCGCCTTGCTTCCCTCGCTTTCTACTCTTCTTTCAGCATTACTTCAACTCTCGCGACCTTTCTCTCCTCCCCACGAAATGCGTGTGCGGTGTCCGTTGCGACCCGAGGATTGATCCGGCGACCCTGATGGAAGTCCGCTTACAATTCCAGCATCGTCTCTTCGCGCAGACGCCCGAGAACCATCCGCGAACTGAACTCTTCCTCGCACTTGGCGGAATTCACCATTGTCTTCGCTGTCCGTGTCTTCGACTGGGCCCCCCGGGTCATCAGAGTCCGGATCGTTGTCCAATTCTCCCAGGGCCGCCAGACGACGACGACGCTCTGCAGGTGTTTCACCCGTGTCGTCCAAGTCGGCTTCCTGCGGGGGACGCGCAAGACCAGCTGCTTCTCGGAGGCGAGCTGGTGGGATACGCTCGGTACCATCGTCTTCGGAGTCTCTTCTCGAACGCAGCCAAGGCCTGGAAGGCGAGTCGGACGGCTCAAAGTGACTGCGTCGCTCCTGTGCAGCCGAGCCTCGAGTCATCCTGGCCAGCGAAGCAGCGACGTCGGTCCCGGGAATGTCCTGTTCGGATTCATCGTCGGTGGTCTCGCTGTCAGAGTCGAATTGCTCGATGCCACGAGATTCTATCTCAGTCCCAGGCGATACCGACACTTCAACAGGTTGTGCTGGGAGAGATTCTCGCTGCTCGGCCTCGTCCTGAGCGACATCCTTCACACGCTCGGGAACGTCAGTCTCCTCGACCAACTGGCGACGAGCCTTAGGGTCCAGATTCTTGATCTGCTCGGCGAACTCGTGTTTCGTCATGCGGCGACCCTTGTGACCGACACCTCGCTTGCCAACTTCGTCGTCGTTAGCCAGGGTGAACCGCAGTCCATCATCCGCTAGCCACTCGTCCTTTCTGCTCTGTGCAGCTTGCGAGGTCTCCGCCTCGCCATCTCTGCCAAACCAGGTTCCCATTCGCCCCAGGCCACGAAGGCCAGCAGCTCCGGTTTCGGGCTTGCCAGGGGCGGGAATCGAGTACTTTTTGATGACTTCGCCGTCCTCATCTTCGACAATAATGGTATTGCCGAATTGATACGCGTGAGCCGACCGAGCTTTGCCCTTGGTCTGCTTGCCAGATTCTTCGGTCGATTTCTTCTCTGCAGTTTTCTTCGCCTCCTTGCTTTCCGCTTGCTCGCCGCGGCCTTTGCCCCAACCGACCCATTTGCCGAACTGCTTGCGAGCTTTTCCTAGCGGGGGCCCGGCCGCAGCTTCCACTGCATGCTGGATTTCTTCTCCTTCCGTCTTCTCATGTGGCTGGCTGCGAGATTTGGACAGTTCGCCCGACTTATCCTTCTGCAGCCGCAGCCTTTGTTCTTCAATGTGCTGCTGCCGTTCCTCAGGTGATTTATGACTAATATCTTCCGTCTTCAGGACATTGCCTTCTTCGTCTTCAATGACCATCGTATGGCCTTCCAGGTACACCTCTAAGGCAGGTTCTCGGCCAAACCGATCACGCTCATGGTTCGGTGGAGATCCTCCCCGTTCAATCTTCTCCCGCTCCTCGGCTTCCTCCTTTGATTTCTCACTCTCCTCACCAGCCTCGGGCGACCTTTGAGGCATAATGGCTGACTGGCTGATCGGGCCTCCAGCTCCATCATCCCGCCTACGACGTCTGCGAGGCTTGCGACTAGGAGGTCGACCGGTGGGTGTCTCGGATTCTTCCTCACGAACTCGTCGCAAAAAGTTACCAGGAACGCCAATAGGTGGAAGAGTTCCAGGAGGGAATTCCGGCTCAGTAGACGAATCACGCACCTCGTCTGCGTCGGTCTTGCGGAATGACATTGACCCTTTGGCCAACGACTGTACGCGAGGCAGCCGGTTCATCCAAGACGGACCCTCTTCATTGGCCGCCGTGTACGACAGCGTGATGGTCAAGGTATTGATACGCTTTCCAAGGGTAAAGACGGCAATCGACGAGCCGTGCACCAAAATGGATGAGATGACCATAAAGGTGGTGATAGGCCAGATCAGCTGCACTATATAATAGTCGGGGGACCCGGGTTTGGGCAGTTGCGACTCAGCCAACGGCTGAGTGCTATCATTTTCGAGTTCAGCCCTGGTTAGGATTGCGGCGAAGATGGCACCGACACCGATGGGTCCGAAATGGCCTGCGAAAAGAGCCTCACGCCATGTTTTCACGTCTGGTATGATTGGTTTCAATATCATCATGATCGGAATCCGGCGGAAGAAGATGACCAGAATCGCTATGACAACGAGCCTCCAGGGCACGAGGCCGATATCCGGGTTGTTGTAGTCCTCCCAGGGGATAATAGATCCGAAATAGACAAAGTAAGCCAGATTGAGAAGCAAGTCAATGACGTTGGATACGTGAGACTCCTCGGTCTTTTCAGTGAACCAGCCATCGTTGCTGAAGCCAACGCCGCAAGCAAAGCCTATCAGAAGATCATCCATGCCCAGCAAACTTCCAGAGCCGGCGCAGAACACGGCCAGGACGAAATAGAAGACCAGGAAGCTCTCGCGATCGATCAACTGCTTACGCTCGGCGAACTTGATGGCATGGCGAGCAAGATATCCGATCATGAAACCATAGACTGCGCCAAAGATACACTCATAGAGAATCGTCACACAGAACCAATTGAGCGACACCTTTCCTGCATCGGGGCGATAGCGGAAGATATAGAACGCGAGATAGATGAACGGGAAGGCCATGCCGTCGTTGCAGCCGGACTCGGCGGACAAAAGATCTCGCAGATGTTTGGGGACTCGCTTGGCGAATTTACCCTTACCGACAACCGAAGAGGCCAAGACAGGGTCGGTAGCTGTCACGCAAGCAGCGCATACGAGACTTTCCAGCCAGTTGAGAGGAGGCACCATCCACCAAATGAACAGACTAGTGACCAACCAGCCCCAAGTCATCACGGGAACGAGCAAGAGACAGACAGATCTCCAATGACGTTCCATGTACGCTTTGGGCAACTCGACACCGACGGCGAAACACTGGACGACGAGGACGATGCGCGAACATTCGAGGGTAATTTTGTCGACATTGCCCCATTCGCCGGGGTTGAACAGATTGGCGGCATGAGGACCAAAGATGATACCACACAGTGTGGCCACAGTTGCTTCACCAATGTACAGTTTCTCCTTGACGAAGAGGGAGCAAAGCATGAACAGCCCGGTGAAGCCTCCGAGGATCATGTACGCCAGATGAGGCTTATCGATGTCCAAATGATCCCACGCCATAATTACTCAGCGCTTCCCCTGTGTAAATCCGATTGCTTTTTCTGATCCCTACGCGGGTAGCAATATCTCCACGTTCTCCGACTGATGTGAACGTGCAATTACAGATATAAACGCCGCACCAGGATTGCTTAATCCCGTTTCCCCGCATACCTTTCGGAGAGGAATGACAAGAAAGAAGCTCGGGGATAATGAACGGCTAAAACGGTCGAACGAGGTCTGTTCCTGTGCCTATTTGCGGTTCTCGTCAGCTTTTGGTTCTGCGACAGTACGCGGTTGATCAACTAGCGCAAAATAAACAACAGGTGAACGGAGAGAAATAGGTGTCAACAGGAAAAGGCAAGGAACGTCGGCAAAAATCCGAAAACTCCTCGGCCAAGCGCCAGTAACAGGAATAAAAGAAGAGAAACACGGATTACCAGAATCGGAAATCAATAACGTGGAAAGCACGCTAATCAACTTACTCACCCCAGAACCGAAAGAGAACAGCAAGTAAGTGCAGGGGAAACAGACCCAGGCAAGCACAAGCGACGACAAGAAAGTGACAAGAGAGGATAAGAGACAGAAAACGGAGGAAAGACAAGACGCTGGGCAGACGCAACTCACCAGGAAGCGGGCAAATTCAAGGACCCAGAGCCAAGACGACAAGGACGGAACCCAAGACCACAACCGGGGATTTCATAACGATCAGTGCTCACTGTTTGCTTTAGTCCAGGGACAATGAGTCAAATGTCAAACATGCGTCTGGCTGTGGTAGGCCAGCTAATTTCTTTTCCTTTTTGCACCTTTGTCCTCCGTTCGTAGCGAGTTTGCCGAAGAAATCGGAAAAAGCGCAAGCAATTGGAAGGCTAAAGCTGAGGACGATGACGGAGGCGGCACTGGCAGCCTTACTGGCTGAGGACCCAGCGGGGATGCGGCGATTCGTCATTCACGTTCTCGTCGCCCCACCAGCCCCAAAGCGGAACGAACAATTTCTGTCCTTGGCGGATTAGTCAGGCCTGGTCCTGATAAGACAATAATAATCATAATCATCATAATCTTCGTCCTTCAGAGAGACAGAAGTCTTATAGATAGACAGAACTAAAAGTATTGCTGGAAGGATAGTTTCAGGCTCAGACCGAGTTACAATGACAATGACACCTGCAATGGCTACGTACCTTGTGCCTACCTACCTTGTGTCGCTGAGCCACATGGGATCTATTTGGGGGAGGGGTGATAGGTAGTACAACATTCCTAGGCAGAACGTGGGCCGGATGTATCATTTCCAATTGCAAACAAGGCAATATCTGAGACGCTTTCAACACCATAATACCTGCGGACTACCTACCTTATGGATACTGTATCTAGTGCAGAAGAACCCAGCCACTCTAGAATATTCGTCTCAGATTCAGAACGTCAAATCAATTGCACTAGCCTTGCAAGGCTGCCCAGGCCCTTCAGTATCATTGGCTACAGTCATTCTCCACTCATGAGCGCCCGGCGGGAAATGCGGTTAGATTGGTGTGTGGATGGGTCTGCTAGGGACAGAAGCTGTACTCCCATTGGAGATACTGATTGTTGAATTTGATCCTGATAGGGTAGTTTGTATTGTTCCGGTCCTGGCCGGGGCGCTCTTGTTCCCCACTAGCAGAGCTGAGCGTAGGGTACGAAGCCAGAGAGAAACTGAGAAATGGCGGCAGCTCGGACCGGAATCAATTGCCTTGCGATGCATACAGAGGACATATCACATGCATCAGCAATGGTAGGCAAACCACTAAGGTCCCTTACCAGATACCGTACTCAAATTGACCATACAGTCATCAGTCCAGGATGAAAAAGGCCCATCGATCAAGCACACTGAAACAGAAATCAACTATCCAATAGCGACAGGCTGAGCAACAGCAAAATAATATAGACATGCTGGGTAGACACAGTTGGAAAAGAAAACAACAACTCTCGCATCACTCGCCCAAAGGCATTCCTTCCACCTGATCACTCAATGACCGCCAATTGTCGGCCTGCAGCTCGGAGTATTTCACTCGCTCCTGGCTCCAATCCTGATGAAGTCTGCTGATGTGATACTGACTCCGCTGGAAATGTACCAGCTCATCTCGGATGCACTCTTTGATGAAGACTCCTCTCGCGTGTTGCTGCACAATTGATTCCTTGTCCTGCAGTGCCAGCAAAGCATTGTGTTAGAAGAAAACATGGCATCAAAAGAGGAAGCAGACGCGGCAAAGGAAAAAGCAAAAAAAAAAAAAAAAAAAAAGAAAAAAAAGGTTTCATACCTTGAATATCGACTCTTCGACCTTCTCAATTTCCCCAGGTTTCACCGCCCCTTGAGGGCGCGACCGCAACTCCTGCAGCTTTCGCTCGTTGCTCTCAATCCGTCGCTCCAGTTGAGGTATGTTGTTTCGTGCGTATCGGTCCCGTCGGTCGAACATCTCTCTCACACTGACAAGGCAATCCCGCTGGAACTTCAAGTCCTCCAGTATACCATTTTCCCATGCCCTTGCTTCGTCCTCCAACAGACTCTGGCTGTTGGAGAGGTGCCTGGCCGTAGCCATGATGCCCTCGTTGAGTATAGGAACATCGTTGGTATCCACAGCATATGTATCCTTAGTCACTTCGGTGAGTGACTGCAATGCGAGCGAGAACCGCAGGTGGTCCGCGGCAAGTCCCTCGTTACGCTTGGCTAGTCGCTCGAGCAGTGTGCACAAGTTGATGTAGATTTCGGCGGAGCGCTTCACGCCGCTACGAACTGTCTCAAAAATATCCGTCAAATTGGCGGGCAATGAGTCCTCGAGATCAGGAGGGAGAACCCGGCCCGTGAACTCGTCTTGTACCGAGATCGTGGCTTGCTTGCGCCAGACCGAGAGTTCCTAACTGCAGGTCAGTTTCTCGTATGCCATTGATACAAAAAAGATCAACACACCGTAGGAACCGTTAAGAACATGACCACGAGTTGCTCCTGGCTTAAAACCGGGTGACGGACGAGTGCATTGGTGAACCGCACGAGGCCGCGGCGCCGCTTCTCAAGGAACGAGTTTGAATCCGCTGAAAGGTGAGTGCCATTGACTTCAAACGAGGAAAAAAGTGAGTAAGCTTTGAGGAGAGCTTGTAGCAAGCCTGAGCTCTGACGTACCTGAAATTCTCTTGGGTGGAAGCAAAGGAAGCTGTCGGAATGGGTATCGTTTCTGCAGACAATCTAACAACCAGACAAAGTCACTGTATCGTCGAATCACTGTGCTACCTCTTCTCGCCGATTTCACTTCGTAGTTGCGATGCTGAAACAAGAACATGCCCTCCTTTTCAGGCAGCAGGTTGACTGTCACAGTCTCCTCCACTTGTGAATTTGTAGCGATGCCGATGTCCGATCGTCGTCGGGCATTGGACTCTTCCTGTCCACTACTGGGGGCACCGAGATTTCCAAGTCCAGCTCGGACCGGTCCGCCAAAGCCATCACCAGTAGTTGTATTGCCATAACTCTCCCCCCATCCAGACCCGGCGCTGGTGGAGGGCGCACCGTCTGTCCGCCCGTTTGCACGGCCCCCGCTCGGTACTTCAGCTCGTGTCTCATCCTCGCGAGCCCTGCTGGACCAGGCATTGGTCGCCGACCGCACACTTCCGAAGCCATTGAGGACTGGAGGCTCGGGTTCAGTTTGCGCATGGTTATGGCCGCGGTGTAGTTGAGGGCTACCCCACGGATCAGCCTCCAAGCCACCCAAAGTTTCTCTGGACTGTCGCGAGCGCGCGGAAGGCGGATCATTCGTGGCCGGGGGAGGAGGGGGAGGAGTGGTGGGCCGTTCTTCGGGATGAGACGGCGCAGAGGGTTGTTGCCTGTCGCGCAGTCCGTCAAGGTAGGAACTTTTCGGTAGCGGAAGCTCTATAAGGACATTAGCAGATTCTCAGACAAGTCTATAATGGTAAAGGCCTTATACTCTTGCGTCGATCATCCACCGCATCAAATGTAAGATCCTCCCCTTCCTGCGCAAGGCCAATCAGCGCTAGGAGGACGTTGAACTGGCCTCGACCAAGCCCATTCGCGCTATCGCCATCACCTGAAACGACGAGATTAAAGATCTTGGCCTGGTCGCTGGCGCTGAGCCCGCTGCTTGACAGGATTTCCCGCACAGAGGTCAAGCCCACGACGCCCCCGACACGATCCCCCTCATTAAGCACAAGGTCATATGCGTCAATATAGCTCTCGGGAACATCCGCGTCGGGCAGCAAAGTCTTCACGAGTTCGTGTCTGGCCGCCCGTTTGTTCGCGTTGCTATTCCAGGGCGAGCTCGCCTGGAACCCGTCGTCATCGGCGAAGAGGGAGGACGAGCCTAGGTTGGCGGAGCTTCCAGCTCCAGCTCCAGCTCCACCGAACGATGGCTCATCCGCGAAAAGCGAAGACCTGGACCTCTGATGGGCTGTATCACCCACAGAGGGATCTTCTGGCGACGTCCCAAATAAGGACATTATGGAGAATCCCGAGTGCGCGATGCGTCACGGATCCGTTGGCGATGATCCCAGTTCCAGGTTTGGGGAGCGGAGTTCGGTCGGAGGCTGGGAGAGAGATAAGTGGCGGACAACACCAAGGGCCACAAAAGCAATCGTCGTCTGTAAGCCAATGGACAACGCCAAGAACAGGATTGAAAATAAAAGACGAGATTCAACAACCAGCCTAGTGCCAGCTAAGCTCAGCCTCTCCTCCTGTGATAAGGGTAGAGAGAATGAAGCTGAATGAAGCCTGGGGCCCGCGGGTGATGTTGTTTGGTGGATCCACCGCAGAGCCCGCACTAGTCTAGTTATTCGAGTCTGACGATAAACAATGCTAGTACACATATGGGGATAGTATCACCTACTATCGACAGAAAACCTTCATTGTCAACAACGATACATTTATAGACACAGCATAACTACTAGGTATCTTTATAGTTCACATATATATATCTCATATCTAATATACGTCATGTTCGATGGAGTACATTCCTCCTAGATCCCGCCATCACCTGAGCTCTCTGACGCAAGAT